GTTGGGGGTCGGATCCAGCAGGTCGAACGTGCTGCTCATGTCCATCTCCTGGTCGTAGTCCGCCAGTTCCGACGCCGCTCTGCCATGTCCTGCCACTCATCGAGGGTGATCTGGTAATTCTTGCTGGGGCTCGGAAGAGTGGGAATCGGTCCGAAAGAGGAACATGGCTCTTGGGGAATGCTCCCACGGGACGTGGACCATGGATCACCTCCCTCAAGAGCGGGGCTATGGATCCGTCCACCGTGGTCAAGGCTGAAGGCGGCGGCAGCTGCGAACTGCAAGACAAGCCATGCAACGCCCAACCTTGAGTAGGACCGCTCTCGCTGCTGCTTGCTCCGGGGTGCATGCTGCCGTCCTCTGACCACTTGTTCTGGTTGTTCACCGTCACCCATTTCCATCGGAGTGAGCACTCCAGGCTCGTGGCGATTGCCGTGCCTCTTGGCGTGTCGGTGTTCGCATCTCTCTTGTCGCACGCGGATTCCCTCCGCTAGCTTCGAATTCGCCGGCTCCCTGGCTTGTTTGTCCGTGTTGTCCGCCAGGACCACCTTCTGATAGAGGTCGTAGCTGATGATGCCCAAGCGAGCCGTGACATGGAGGTTCCGCCAGGTGATCCGATAGAGGCGCAGGATGTGCCGCACCATGGATGCCCATGCTCGAAAGGCCACGTCCTCGCGGTTCATGGGCGGTGTGAGCTACTCGCAGGGCCGGCCTGGCATTACCACCAGGTGCCTTTTGAGCGTCTGAAGCAGCGGCGGCATGAAGGATATTCACTTCGGGATCGCCGCAACCTTCATTCTGAAGTTGTTTCCAGACACCAAGCTTGGCTGCGTTCTGTTTCTGTGATCTTGAGGGCTAAATGTCCTTCTGCTAGGCAAAGGAAAACTTCACAACCAAGCTTGCTCAGGTAGGCCTTCTTGCGGGAAAGGTCCAGAACACATCCAAACTTTTCGAGGGTAGAAAGCTTGCCAAGGAAGGGGATGTCCGCTTGCAGTGGATGGGTTCCAAGAATCAAACACTTCTTGTTGATGCTGGAGGGCAGGTGGTACAAACGGTCAGCAACCTGAGGGAAACTTGAACTTCTCATGGCGTGGTATGGAATGAGGCAGGAGTCCGAAACCTGTGAGGGCCTTCTCATGCTCGGCTAACCATCTCAAACCACAGCATGAGCGTTGGCAAGCTGTGTCAACCACCATGTAGCCAGCCGTGTGATGGGCGGTAGCCATGCAAACCCTCTCAAAAGCATTAGCCATGTGAACAACCATCACGAAGTGCGATTTTCCATCGGTGGTCTCTGCGGAGGGGTCATCCGGGGTGTCAGGTGCAAATTCAAGCACCGCATCAAATCCAGAAGCGTGCTTCACTGTGAAGACCTTCTTGTCATCCTCCTTGTTGAAGCGAAACTCGAACTTTTGCCCTTGCCTTTGTCCCTCTTGCCGGCGCCCTTGTTGTGATCGTTCCGGAGGTTGCTACCTGACGGAGGTCCGGAAGGTGGCGCTGCTTTACACTGGTTGTCTCCGGCCCAGTGCCCAATTTCTCCACACGCGGCACACGTGGAGAGCCGTTTCCTCTCCTCGACACTCTGTCGAGGATTGCCGCTATACTTGCGGCCTTGTGTCATCGAGGCCAACTTGCGTGCTGTGACAGTCAGCACTTCGGCCAGTTGGTTGTACTCGTCATCGTCCGGGAGGTTGCCTTCGTCATCCTCCTGCTCGTAGTTGTCCTCACCGTAGCTCTCGTCTTCTGCCGCAAGGTTGTCCTTTTCGTTCTCCTCGCGTGCGTCGACGAACTCCTGATTCTCGGAGGCCTGCGGGTAGTCCTCTGGTTCTCCTTCTGGCTGATCATGCTGCGTCTGGAAGACACGTTTGCCCTTCTGGTTTCCCTTCCGCCATCCACCGGGTGTGAATGACGAGCCATCTGCATTGTTCGGAGGTGCAGGTGCCGAAGGGCTCGAAGTGAAGTTGCGCTTGCCGTTGCCCTTGTTGCCGAAGTAGCCACCCTTGCCGTTGTGCTCGCGAAAGAAGTACACGGGCGGTGGAGCACGGTACTCAGGGTACTGCAACAACAGGGCTGCCTTGATTGCATCGAAGGAGAGTACCTGGCCGGTCCCGACGAGCACCAGACGTTGTTGGTCTGGCGACAATCTGCACTTGTCAAGCAGTCGGCTTCCCCGTGACTCAGTGTCGTAGGTCTGCCGCACGTCTATTCCGGTCGCCTGGAGCGAGGCCTCACACCGCTGATAGCGGTTGCAGAAAGCTCTCAAACTTTCGCTGCCGTGCCTACTCAAGGTCTCGTAGTCGTGAAGGTACTGCCTCTTGACGTAGACGTCGCGCTGCTGGAAGGCGCTCTTCAGCTGCTCCAGGATGTAGTCAACTCCATCCTTGCTGTGGATCCGCTTGAGGTCTGCATGTTCGAGTTCAGCTTCCGCTTCGCCCTGCAGACTTGTGAAGAGCGTCAAGCTGATCTCTGACGGGTGGAGGTAGCTCTTGGCCTGGAGTTCCCAAATCCTCACCTTGCGCTCATACTTGTCGAAGGCGCGTGTTGCCGGGCTGGTACTTCCATGAGGGTGGATTCGGAACGGCTCCGGATCTGTAGCGAACGCCTTTCTCTGGCCCCTGAAGGGATGTCCAAGATCGGGACTCGTCATCCTTCTTGATGATCAGCTTCTTGAGCACGTTCACGAGCTGCTGAGCGGGGTCCGTGGGTACCATAGCCCTTGTTGGCTCCTTTCCCATGTTGAGGAGGTCGAGGGGGAAGATCGAACTCAGCATCGTCCTCGTAGAAGGGGTCAACGGTGGGAACTTCGCTCTCACCTCTTCCTTCACCGCGCTCAGAAGCTGCATCGGGAGGTCCGCCATGTCCTCGTCGTTGTTGACGCTTCCGTCTCCGCCTCGGTCCAGCTTGTCCAAGTTCTGGCTGATCCGGGGGCGCATCAGAAGGTACAGGAACTCCTGCAGGTAGGAACATCCACGTGCCTCTGTCGGTCTGTCGCTTGGTCGGCTGTTGCGCGTGGCAGAACTCCGCGTTGCCACAGACCGAGCACGTCCACGTGTCCGCTTCCGCGTTCCAGTAGTGCTCCTCGGAGTCGCATCTCAGACAGACCCAACTCCCATCGGTTCGGAGCAGGCTGCTCCGCTGTTTGAGCTCGTTGCTCATGAGGTTGCTCAGGTCGTAGGGGTCGACCATGTGGCTGTCCATGAGGATCACGTCCGGGCTCGAATCCCTGAGGAACACATTGGCGTAGAAGACCATCCAGTAGTCCAGCGAAGCGAGCATTGCCAGCAAGATGCCGAAGGAGACCTTCATGCCCAAGTTGCCCAGGGAGAGCTCCGGGTCCGTTACCATGAGGTCGCTCGGGGCCCCCAGGACCTGTGAAGCGGGGTACACTGTGTTGATCGTTATCTCCGGGTCCGAGTGGGCGTCCTGGAATCTCACCTGGCCACCACTCTCGAGAACCTTCTGCTTGGTCAGCACGCACACGCTGTTGTTCCTGCTGCGGTCCATCGCCATTAGTGAAATCAGCAGCGGGGTTATCGGGCTCATCCTGAATCTCATCGGTGCCAGACTCACGGTCTGAGGATGCCTGCATGGCTTCGCCTCTCGGCCCAAAGCTCAGGGGCTCCAAGGACGTTGCCGTGCTCCACGAGGGCATCCAGCCGGGAGAGCTCCGCCTGGTTCGGGAGCTCCGCTACCAGCTTGTGCAGCTGGCTCAGATGCACGGGGTGACGCTCGAACGCGTCGGCTTTTCCACGGTGCGCTGGCTCGCGCTCACGATGTCGGGCTTGAAGCCACGAAGCACAGGGCGATGATGCCCAAATCGCTCAGCCATGTGGCGAGAGTGTGCAAGATGCAAACTATGCTCAAGGGGTCCCGCTTGAGATACAGTGGCATCGAATGAATGGTCCAAAAGCGAAACAGCGGAAAACTCACAGAAAGAAGTAGAATGAATGTTGAAGGAGTAAAAAAACATAAGGCTTAAACTAATTGCTTATGAACCTGTATAATTCAAAACTAAACCCTACAAAAACTACTTGAAGACATATTTGCTTATATAGTATAGAAAAAATGAACCCTAGCTATAATGTGACTGAAGATGAACAAAATGACATGATTGATGAATTCCTTAAATTTATTGAAATCCATGAATATAAAAACACATTGACAAGTGAGATTAAAACCTGTCAGTGTAAATGCTAAAAAACATATGAACTACAAAGTGCTTGACAAAATGCGATTTGATGAAAATATTATTCAGAATATCTATTCTATGACTTCTGAATGTTCAACTTGAAAAGGTAAAAAGAGTTTCATATAAGACTTTAACAATATTCATAAAACTAACAATGCAAATATTATGTGTTTGCATTTTACAAGTCATAGGTGTCCTTCAATAGATGTTGTTAGGCAAGTAACTAAATGTGGGAAAGACAGATATTATATGTTTAGAAACTTGTACAACAACGTAATTATCAAAATGACTATGAAGTAGAAATACTTAATGTAATTGATAAATATAATGTTTACAAAACATTAGTAGGTTTCAATGCAATCATCAAACATATAGATACAATACAAAGAGGATGGTTTAAAACTGATTATGAACCAGTGATTACAACACGATCATATCAAGAACGATTTTGGTAATCTTTACTGTTTAATTATATTATTGTTAAATAATATAATTGAACCCTTATATCCCCCAGAAAGCCTTAAACTGGTCTGAAACCTGAACCATGAAAATGTCAAAATGTTAGACTGTTATTAAATGAAAAAAATGTAAAAAACAAATGTTCAGAACAAACTGATTGACTGATTGAAAAACAATCCTGAACATCCTGAACCCTGAAACTGAAAACTGAAAATCCCTGCCCCACACACCCCCTTTCAACAATTTTTCCCCAGCCCCCCCCCCAAAAAAAAAGCCACAGCCGTCAGTAGAAGCTACATGGCTAAATTAATATGGAGTTGTCAGTCAAAATATCAACTGTGTTCAAGTGCGGGGCCGTTCACGATGGGTGTTCTTCCTCCTCGTCCTGGCCGAAACCGGAAAACCAAGGATGTGTTTGCAACTGTGCCTCTCCTCTGGGTGTAGGTATTTGTGCCAGCCCTTGCGGTAGAACCTGCATAGCAAGCCGGAGCTAAGGCAAACACGAGTTTAGATGGCGGCAAATGAGGTGCGCACTCATGACTCGTCCGGAAGATGAAATCATTCCGTTTCTTCCTGAACCTGGCTGCTGAAACTATGCTGTTTCATCAGCTTCCACAATGGCTACAGCCAGTGTGGAAGGCGACATGTGCAAGCCACAGTCACACGCCAGCCAGACAGCCGGTTATGGTCAGATCGCATTGTCTGAACCTGGGCTAGCACGGGAAACCTTGGACTCATGCATTGCGATTGGCCGTAGGAAAAGAACATGCTCCTCTGCGAACCTCTGAACTTTTTCCTCGCAATTCGCTGCAAGCAGTCCTCACTGGCAGAACCTTGGTGCAAACGCGAGCACATGGGCCGAAGGATGCCACAAATCGAAAAGCCAACGTCTGAGGGCGGGGCCGGGAAAGCTTCAAAGTTCCTGCACTGGACCGCTCTGTTCAATGAAGGGGTCGGGCTCCTAGAATCAATGCACAGTTTTTGCAGCAAACTGCCACAAGCGCATTGAATCATTGGGCGAGTGAAGAAAGACGTTGAGAGCTATTGGGTGGGTCCTGGCTAGGTGCACCTGTCTCTGGCTCTGGCGTCTCGATTTGAGATTCGAAATCTTGCACCTCGATTGAACCTAACAGCAATTCATGGCGAGGGAATGCATCGCGTTGATGGCGCTTTCGGCCCGCCTTTCTTGAAGCTTTCGTGGCCAGGTGCTACGCTCGCTGCAGAGGCCATCAGGGCCTGCAAGGACTGACTTGAAAACCTAAGGGTCGCAAACTACAGGCCTGGAATTGGCCCTTGTCCAGAGCCTGGCACAGCCACTTGCCCCAGTTGCATCACTTGTCACATACTGGTGCCTGCTTCAGCTGCATGGATGTAACATTGTCTGGTGGGCTCATCGTGGCAGATACCATTGTGCCTTGGCCAGCGGTCCGAGTACAAGACCAAGCTGAAGGGACTGCAGTGTCTGCATCATCCACCCCATGAGCTTGAGCCCGGCCACTGTCATTGTCACCCTCTCCCAGTGCTGCCGCTGCATTCTCGGCAGTGACACCTGACGCCCACTCCGCGCAAGCCTCCGCAAGCCTCCGCAAGCCTGTTCATGGACTAGACGCAATGCGCGAAGCCTTTACTCGTCGCGGGCGCGGAGTGTCATGCCTGCTGCACCACCAGCCACTGCAGCCCGAGCCAGCGTCTCGCGCACCTGGGCCCGAAGAGATCTCTTGCGCGCCTTGAGCGCCATGCTGCCAAGCGGCCAGCTCTTCAAAAGCAGCGAGGTGTGCCGGGTTCTGCTCCAGGCTTGGGAAGTTCATGAAGGCCTCAGGGAACGGCTCTGGACTCGTTACATTGCAGCCAGGGAATCAGGGAATGCCGAGGGGCAATGCTGAAGCTGAGGGAAACATACGACTCATCCACGTCCTGCGCCTGTCATATTTTGGAAACGCCAATGCGCCCAAGCGACACGCCTGTCGATACCTTCAGCCAAGAACTGGGGCCTGCATGGCCTGCTTCACTTCCTCCACGGTTTGGATCCTCTTCCGAAGGCTGAAGTAGATGATGCCCAGGCACACGGTGTTGAACACAAACTCGGACATTTACGTCAGGGCAACGCAAACAGCAAACAGCAAACAGCAAAGAAGCGCTTGTGGACATGATGGAAGCACAACGACATAGTGCAGCCCAAGATCCAGCTGAACAACCATAAAGCGGGTGATCGAGGAAGAAGCTGCCTGGGAATCCTGCGGTGCCTGTGCTGATACCCGCACCCCGCTGCTTGTCACATTGTCACCTGCAGGTCCTTCAGCAGAGTGATCACTGCCAAAGGCATCACGTCAAAAGCGAAAGCAAAGGCAGCACTTTGTCCTGGCTCGCCATCCAAACCTGAATGGAGACGCAGTGACACAGGCCTGGGAGAAGGCACCGGCCTTTCTTGCCGGGCTCGCCCTTGGGTCCGGCCAGCCCGACCTCACCAATCAGCTCTTCAGGTACCTGAGTTGCCGCTAGGCAAAAACGAAGTTGGATCCCATCTGAGCCAAACGCGTTGTAGGGGTCCAAGTGCTCTCCGTTGACCACTGTCGGCTTTCCAGTCTGCCAGCACGAGTTGTAGGAAGCGTTGGCCGGGTGCAGTACGGTGCCATTCTGCAGCACTGTGCCAGGGCCTGCCTTGCCATCCTCGGTGGTCATGGGACCTCAGCCGAAGCCCATGCCGGGCATTGCAGCAAAGCCCATACGTCACGTACCTGCATGCTGGAAGTCCAGGTTCAGGAGGCTGCCCGGGGCCATGCCCTTGGCTTCGTGTTCCATTCTCCGTGAACTCAAATTCGTGCTGCATGCTGGCTTCATGAGATGCGGCTTCGCCG